ATAAAATCATAGTCATTCATATAAGGTATACAAGGCCCAGTGGATCAATTTATTAACAAGAGCCAGCGCCGGGCGGGGGCAATTAACGCTCAACCTTTTACTTTTTCTAAAAGCAAACAAAGAAATGTTTGAACAAATCTTAACTTTTCCTTTTTATAAATTCAAACCGTCTGTCTTGTCACATTAGTTTTGTCTATATATTTTGTATATATATATACATACGCATTTATAAATATACGCATTTATATATATATATATAAGCATTTATATATATTTCTTTAACAATGTACTTCTACTAATGAGATCTATCGACCTACAAAGTTTCATGTTGATATCTCTTATACTTTTAGAGTTATGTTCCAGACAAAGTTCAAAGTGTAACAAGAGCCATTTATATATAATGCTTGTATATATATATATATATATATATATATAAATATATATAAATATATATATATATTCACACATACCATCACTTACGGGGCCCATATATAAGACCGACTTGAGTGGCATTATTTCATGCAGTCAGTTTTTATATATGCCACTATGTAGGCATATAATGAACATTTCCAAACAACAGAACTAAGGGGTACTAAGTTATATATATCAACTATATATTTAATTTTACAATAGGTGAAAACATATTGACCAATAACATAAAACCCCATTAAAAATATATACATTTGTGGTGCATTAACTATTAAAACCGGCGTACGGGCACTATTTTAGAAGGGTAGCCTACACCCCCATACAACATGCTAGGCCTTATGTATGCCCCATAAGAGGAATGTAACTGTATATATATATATAGAGGATATTTGTTTGTTTGTGTGTAAGATGACATCTTACACAACAAACAAACAAATTTTCTTTTTATTTTATGCTAAAAAACAAGTTTAAACGAAATTTCCATAATATTAACATAAATATTAAAATCTGTTTCCCCATTGAGAGCCCCATTTAGTGCGAATTTCTCATTAAAAACAAGAAGTCTTGAGCTGAAAAAATAAGTCAGACAATCAACGTTAAATGACAGTGATATTATTTATTTTGTTTAAAAAATATGAATGATCGCTTGTTTTAATAATAAAAACAAACAATTCTTGTAGGAGAAAATTCCAACCATCCATCCATATTTCTGTTACTTACTGCGAATTTATATTAGACCTGGCTTTGTTAAATGTAAGCGGCAGCCATTTTTTAAAGTTGTGTATTTCACGGGAGGAAAATAATTGTGTTTGATTCAGAGGGATATCATTTGGATTTGTTAGTGTCATACACCTTTTTAAAAGAAAGAAAACATATTTGAGGATTGAAACAGACAAAAAATAAGTGTTGACAGATGTGAAAACATGAAAAAAAGCAGCTATGAAAATGGAAGACTTGGAACTTGCTCAGAACGCTGGGTGGTTTACTTGTTCTACGAGCTGTAGCTGTCATTGCTTTTCAATTTTTCATGAAGCATACGGCAGTTATTACTCGTAGGATACTTTAATATGCCCAAATGTCATCAAGAGCAGTTTGCATGTGGAAGGAATGTATTTTTCAGACTGTAAAAATGAAACAAAAATTTAGAGACGAAATTTGGTGATTGGAATTTGAATGAATAGAAGTAAGTTTTCTTCTTTTTATTACTTTTGACATTTAAGTTATTTATCAATTTCAGCTTTGCGTTTTCTTTAAACAGCCTGACATTGTCAGAATTGTTAGCAAAAATAAAATTGAGGTACCACATGGGAAAAATCTTTAAAAAGTAGTTTTGTCATTAAAAAGTGTGAAATTATATTTTGATAATTTTCACTGTGAAATTATCAAATATAATTTTCACGGATAAATCAGTAATCCACTGAAAAGCATAAAATAAATAAATATATATATATATATATATATATATATATATATATATATATATATATATATATATATATATATATATATATATATATACAGTGCCCTCCAAAAGTCCTTGGACATACCTTAAAATTTATCATTCACTGGCAAACTTTTTTTTTCATCTGTCAATAGTTTATAAAAGAATTTGGTTCTATTAAGGAGTAGAATAAAGGGGGGTAATTCAAAAAAAGCATTTTATAAAAATTCAGAAATAACAGAGCTTTAATAAATTAGATATTTGACATTTAACATTCTCTAGTAAAGATATGAAGTTTCAAATAATAAAATTAAGATTCTCCTAAGAAAGGTTGCATCAAAAATGTGCTTTATATTGAAAATATGAAACCTGTAAGTCAACTCCAATTCAAAATGCTAACATTAGAGGAGACATTACGATGCCAGATTATGAGGGAGCAGGGAGTCTCAGTAGCGGATATCGCCATTCAGATGGATCGACCAAGGTAAGAGATAAGCTTTCTTTAAATGTTTTCTTGTTCAAAATTTTAAGTCGAATTGTGTTTTTCTTTTGCTGCTATAAAATTATGTTATTAATCTTGCTGTGTTTTTTTTTCTAATTTGTCTTTGTTTACTTCAGGTTAACAGTCTACCACACTCTGAAACGGTATGAGGCCACTGGTACCCACAAAGATCGTGCTAGGACAGGGAGGTAAAAAGTTTCAGACAAAAGAGATGACTGTCTATTAGTGAGTCAGCTTCACTGCAAAACAGGAAAGCAACCAGTGAATGAGCTGCGAAGAGATTGGCTATCCTCAAATGTGTGCTTCCGCAACAAAAGTGAGACGTCGTCTACATGAGGCAGGACTTTATTATTTGGCCGTAAAGAAGCCTTTGCTTTCACCAAGACACAGGCAACTCCGTTTGAACTTTGCCAAAGAGCATGCTGATTGGTCTTGGGTTGATTGGTCAACTGTGACGTTCTCAGATGAGTCTAAATTTAATTTATTCCAAAGTGATGGGCGTTGTACGGGAACTTGGGTTCTACTTCAAATATAAATCTAAACGAGTATGCGCCTTTAACTTTTATTTCCTTGATAAACGTCAATAAGCGTTGATAAGCGTTGATAAGCGTTGATAAGCGATTCTCTGAAAATATTCATTTACAATTTGTACTTCGCAATAAATAATAAACATAAAAACATTCACATCATCAATAAACTATATATGAATTACACAATAAATCTAATTAGAAATTTTGTACCTTTAAATTTAAATCTTACTGTAAATTATCTTTTAAAACAATTGCATTATTTTGTTAAAAATTAAACATACCGATTTTGACTTGTCTCAATACATCAAGTTCCAGATTTAAACTGACGAGATTCTCAATAATTACAACAATTACAATAACAAAACAAAACAAAATGATGACGTCGACGTAAACATCTTACGTCGCGTAAAGTAGCGTAACATATTGACGCCATTAACAACGTTCACAAATCTGAAGTACTTAGAAATCAATACGTTTCTAACAGTCCTCGCCATGAAATTACTCTTAAATTTCATCAAAATCGCAATAATAAGTACATGTACAATAAAGAGACAAAATTGACCTTTGCCAACTTAAAAATATGTATATTCAAATGGTAACTGTTAAAGCTTAGCTTTTAAACTTTAAAATGTCAATAAGCAACATGAGTATGACTAAGGTGAACTTTCAAGTAGACACAATTTAGTAATAGATTTCACTGATTCAGTGTCTTTGTATTTCATAACACAACTTCTAACATGTCCATCTCGGCTTTCTCGTATCTGGATAACACGTCCTAAGGGCCATTGTCCCCTTGTAGTATTCTCGTCAGAAAACTAACACAATGTCACCAACACGCAAATCTGTAGTTTTCCTCTGCCATTTTGAACGACTTTGCAGTGACGGTATGTATTCACGGACCCATCTTCTCCAAAATATATTAGCCAGATATTGTACTTGTTTCCACCAACGCTTTACATAATTGTCTTCATTTTTAAACACTCCCTTTGGAATACTGCTGTTAGATTTCATTAATAGTAACATGTTTGGAGTTAAGGCTAACAAGTCATTTGGGTCGTCACTAACAGGGGTTATTGGTCTATCGTTGAGTACCCTTTCGGCTTCTGTCATCAAAGTAAGAAGCTGCTCATCTGTAAGAAGTTGTTGCTTGATTAATGATTTCAAAATAGTTCTCGTAGAACGAATCAGTCTCTCCCACGCTCCTCCTCGGTGACTTGCTTGAGGTGTGTTAAAGTTCCACTTAATTTCTTTTTCAGTCATAAATTTTCCTATTTTCGAATTGTTCCATTCTTGAATCGAGTGTCTTAATTGACGATCACCGCTCACAAGATTTGTTCCATTATCACTGTACACCTTCTTCGGATATCCTCTTCTAGCCGTAAAACGCTGAAATGCTGCGATGAATGAGTCAGTTGTCAAAGTGTGTGTAACTTCAAGATGTACTGCTCTAGTTGCAAGACACGTGAAAAGACAACCGTATCTCTTTACATGTGTACGCTCTGCTTTTACAATAAGTGGTCCAAAGTAATCAATACCTACATTCGTGAACGGAGGTTCATCTGGTGTCGTCTGCTCGGGTAGGAGAGGGGCCATCTGTTGAGTCATCAATGGGGTATGTTGTCGTCTGCATATAATGCAATTCTTTACAATATTTTTCACTGCACTAGGTCCCTGAAGTATCCAGTATTTTTCACGGGATGCGGCTAGTACATGCTGTTTCCGGCATGACCATTATTTTTCATGTATATGTCGTATTATCAATCTTGTCACGGTATTTTTATTGGGTAGTATCACTGGACATTTACTCGGGTTGCGAGATTGAAGTCGACCCTGTACCCGAATGAGGTCATCATATATCACAGGATTCAATGAAGCGATACTGCTGTCCTTTTTGACCGGCTTAGAATTTTGTAAATTGTTAATTTCACTAGAAAATGCTGTATTATGTACATACAACATTATGTTATGCTCTGCTGTCTGGATTTCTTCTAATGTTAAGTTGCCATCTACCATTTTCAACTTGTGTTTTAGGTATCGCTGTCTGCAGAAATTCTTGTATCTTAGCAACCATGCGACTGCTCTTCTTAGTTTCGTCCAGCTACAATAGCGATCTAATGCTATCTAGACATTCAGCTGCAGAAGTTTTATTAATCAGGACTTCCTTCTTGACCTCGTTATCATTTTCTGCTACTTCCGGCGGAAGTGGATTTTTTGTCCATTTTTCAGAGTCTTGCTGAAGAAACGTTGGTCCATTTAACCATAAATGAAGTTTTTCAGTATCGTATGCACTTATTCCTCTGGAAGCTATGTCTGCTGGATTCGAACTTGTGTGCACGTGGCGCCATTGGTCTGGGGAAGTTGTTTCATGAATTATGCTGAGTCTATTCCCAACAAACGTCTTGAACCGCTTGGACACGTTATTTATATATCCAAGAACAATCATGGAGTCTGTCCAAAAGGTAACTTGGTCAAAGTTCATATCTAATTCATCAGATAACATTGCAAATAATCTACACCCTACTACAGCGCCAGATAACTCAAGTCGTGGAATAGACATCTGCTTTATTGGTGCTAGATGAGACTTTCCTATCACCAGGGAACAATGTACGTTGTCATGTACATCAACAAAGCGCAAGTAAGCGCATGCACCATAGCCTCGTTCCGAGCCATCACTGAATATATGTAACTGGGTATTTCTGGCGGTCCCAAATCCCTGTGGTCTGTACCAGCGATTCACAGATAGCTTTTCTAAGCTAGATAAGGTAGATAACCAAGTTTGCCATTCATTACTGATGTTTTGTGGTATCTGGTCGTCCCAGCCAATCTTCAATCTGCACAAACTTTGTACTATACCCTTGGCCTGGAGTGTAACAGGTGACACAAGTCCAAGTGGGTCGTATATAGAACTTACGACGGAAAGAATTCCACGTCTCGTGAAAGGCTTCTTTTCCAATTTTACTTTAAAACAAATTTTATCTTCATTTACATTCCAAAGTACTCCTAAGGCGCGGTCACAAGGTAAGGTATCATCGAGACTCAAATTTACAACAGAAGGCGCGCGTTCGGATTCTGGATAGCATTCAAAACTTCTCTGCTGTTACTTAGCCATTTAGTCAGTCGAAATCCGCCTAACTTCATAATTGACTGAAGATCAGTTGCTAACTTTATTGCCTTTTGTTCTGATTCCACAGACTTCAAACAGTCGTCAACATAAAAATTTCTCTGGACTGTAGTAACCACTTCCGGTTCAAATATTTCGGCATTGTCAACTGCAGTTCTCTTTAAGGCATACGCCGCACAACTTGGTGATGATGTCGCTCCAAACAAGTGTACATTCATGCGGTAACACTTTGGTTTCTTATTTAAGTCCCCACCAGGCCACCATAGAAAACGTAAAACATTGCGATCTTCATCCGTAACGCGCACTTGATGAAACATGGATTCTATATCCGCGGCAAGGGCTATTTTCTCTTTCCTAAAACGAATTACTACGCCCATAAGACTGTTCATTAGGTCAGGTCCTTGGAGCAGTTGGCTATTCAATGAAACGCCTTTATATTTCGCAGCGCAATCAAACACAATGCGAACTTTCCCTGGTTTGTTTACACTAGTAACTGGATGATGTGGTAAGTACCAGATACGTTTGTGATAGTTCTCGTCCTCCATTTCAGGTAATTCAGTCGCAAAACCTTTCTCTATATATTCGTTCATGGTAGTTGTGTACATTTTCTGTAATCCTGGGTCACGTGACAGTTTGTTTCTTAGTTGTTGAAGACGCACTTGAGCGAGTGGAATGTTGTTAGGCAATTGTCCGTTTTCGTTTTTCCATGGTAACCCCATCATGTAGTGTCCGTCTCTATGAATAAGAGAAGATTCCATTATTTTCATTGCACTTTTGTCTTCTAAGGACATAGAATTTTTCTCGTTCAATCTGTCGTTGAAATCAGTATTCCACATCTTTTCTAAGTGTTCCTGTAATAATATGTCTCTGGACTGTTCAAAGTGGATATTTACTGCACTGGGAGCTGTATCGTCTTTCAAGGGACCACGAATCTCCCATCCTAGGCGGGAACGCACTGCATATGGTTGGTCACTATCTCCTGACCGTACTTCTAAGGGGATATGGGCTGCTGGGAAATCTGTGCCAATAAGAAGCATTACATCAGTATTGGGAATTTGGGGAATTTCAATGTCAGATAAGTATGGAAAAGTTTTGTAATCTAAATGCATTGCCGCTGATTTTGCAGATATCGGTAGTTTCTTCACCGACCATACCTTACGGAGGGAGACTTCCTCACTTCCGGTTCCGTTTACAGCCATAACTGTAAGGTCCGCTTCATGCCCATAACTCGTGCTGCTAGATGAGTTCACGGTTGATATTTGAAACGTTATTGGCTTACAATCAACATTTAACTTCTGTAACAGTCTCTCGTCACATAGTGTTTTGTCAGCACCATCGTCTAACAGCGCGTATGTATGACACTGAATCCCGTTTTCGCCTCTTACAATCACAGGCACAACACCCAAACAGTTCTTCACAAATGAACTCTTAACAGCTGCGCAATTCACCGAGGATTGTGTGACTGAGGCCTCGTTCCGTGGTCCAGTCCAACTATGTAGTAGAATATTGTGTTTAATTCTACAATCCGGCACGGTACATAACTTTGGTTTCCTACAGTTATTAAAGGAATGATTTCCTTTCAAACAATTAAAGCACAGTTTGTTCTTTTTAACCACTTCGTTCCGTTCTTTTAAATTCATAGACTTGAATTTCACACATGAACATAAGTCTGCACAGTTACCATGGCAACATCTACATTTTCGCTCGTACTTCTTCATTTCCGTATTACTCTGAGTAGTCAGTGTTGTTATATCTTTTGATGGTTTTTCAGCATAAAATCGACCGGAAGTCGTCTTGTGTTCCACTTTTAATGTTCTGTTCTCCTTAACAATGTCTATACCGTACATGGAATTAGCAACTCGCGACTTTTCATCTACAAATCTCGCTAAATCGGAAAACTTTGGTTCTCTACCAGACTCATTAATCACGTGTGCGATCTCAACCCATTTCACTCTCAAATGCATTGGTAACCGCTTCACTATACGTCTCAAATTTTGAGAGTTATCTATTTCACAAGAGAAACCTAGTTGTGATAACGTGATTTCACATTTTTGCATTTCCATGGCTAAATTAGAAATACCTTAAATGTCAGATGCTGATAACTGGGGACCTTCTACAAGTTTTTCAATGTATGTCCTCGTGATCACGTGCGGTCTTCCATAACGAGAGTATAAGATTTCGCGTGCGCGTTTGTATCCTTCACTTGGTTCTAACAACACACAGTCTTCGATACAAATTTTTGCTTCTCCGTAACAGTATTGTATTAAATAGCTCAACCGTTGGCTGTCATCAGAAACTCTATTTTCTATATTAGTTTCAAAGTTCTTTATAAACTTGCAATATTCCGTTGGCTTTCCGCTGAAAGTTAATAGTTCCGGTTTTGGTAAATTGAATCCCTCGTGCAGCGCGAAAGCAAGTTTTTGAAATGCTGTATCAATACCGGATTCACTAACTTCGGAATTTCTTGTACATGATTCGTTACCAGATACTGCGTTTAGCGTGCGATTTGACAATTTGTACGATTCAGTATTACTCATATCACGTGCAGCACGGGAATTAGTGCGTTCAACAATGTCGTCTGCATCAAATCCGCTTGTACCGCCCAACATTCTGTGATGATTATTATTAATTCCATCATCGGTTAATAAACATGCTGATGTATCAGTTCTTGATTTGAAAATTCCATCTTTGCCTGTATGACGTTTATTTGAATTTTGTTCACTAGGAGACTCGTTGATTAATATCGTCTGCTTTGAAGATTCATCCGCGTTAAACACAATTTTCTTGCCATACGGATTCTTCTATCTGCGCTTCTTCAAGAACGATCTGTTGATCAAGTAATTGCTGTTTAAATTCGACTTCCTTGCGCGCTAATTCGAGTCCATGTTTTTTCTCCAATGATTTTAATTTTAATTCCGCAATCAAACGTTTTGCTTTCGCACTTTTCAACTTTGCCTGTGATTGACACGGAATTTGCACTGCTAACTGTAGATAAAACATCATCATCAGGTATTTTCTGCACAGATTTCCACTGTGAAAATCTTTTCCTGGCACTCAAAGAAGTTTTGACTACAATGTTCGTAATTCAATTCAAGCGTTTTCCGTACATCCGGGTCTGAGCATAAGTCTAAGCATAACAAATGTGCTGATTTAAATGATTCAAAGCGCTCACACAACGTGTCATACAATATTTGTACCTCATCTGCGTTCTCATGTGATATCATTTTCAGTTCTAAGTCTTTGTATAATCGGGTCAATTTTCCAAGTTGCGAAGAACGTGAACGTTTAACACTACCAAAATCCTCATGCGTAGGATCTGTTCCATTTTCGGTAGATACTTCCTCCATATTGAAGAAATCGAGAATTGTACGGGAACTTGGGTTCTACTTCAAATATAAATCTAAACGAGTATGCGCCTTTAACTTTTATTTCCTTGATAAACGTCAATAAGCGTTGATAAGCGTTGATAAGCGTTGATAAGCGATTCTCTGAAAATATTCATTTACAATTTGTACTTCGCAATAAATAATAAACATAAAAACATTCACATCATCAATAAACTATATATGAATTACACAATAAATCTAATTAGAAATTTTGTACCTTTAAATTTAAATCTTACTGTAAATTATCTTTTAAAACAATTGCATTATTTTGTTAAAAATTAAACATACCGATTTTGACTTGTCTCAATACATCAAGTTCCAGATTTAAACTGACGAGATTCTCAATAATTACAACAATTACAATAACAAAACAAAACAAAATGATGACGTCGACGTAAACATCTTACGTCGCGTAAAGTAGCGTAACATATTGACGCCATTAACAACGTTCACAAATCTGAAGTACTTAGAAATCAATACGTTTCTAACAGGCGTGTTTATTTTTGCAGACGTGAACAATTAAGAGATGACTGTGTTACCCCAACTGTCAAATTTGGGGTGGTAGTGTGATGGTGTGGGGAGCAATGATTTATAGGGGCACAGGGTTTCTGTCTCGTGTTGATGGCCGACTTAATTCACAAGGATACATAAAGATTCTTGAGGACTGTGCTATACCTTCGGCCCATTTGTTGGGGTATGATAACAACTTCATCTTCCAGGATGATGGTGCTACCGCCCATATAGCCAGAATTGTTGAACAATGGAAAGAGGAGAATGAATTTAAGCGTTTAAAATGGCCTCCTCAGCCAACTGATCTTAACCCCATTGAAAATTTGTGGCAGATTGTGAAAATTTGATCTAAGAAATAAACACAGCCATAATCTCCGTGAGCTGGAACAAAAAGTGAAAACTGTTTGGGATTCTGAGTACGTCCTGAATCATGTGAAAGACTTGTTAGAAGCATGTCACGAAGGATTCAAGCTGTTATTAGGGCCAGAGGAGGTCACACAAAGTACTGAAGTAGATCACTACTTTCATAATTAACATCATGTTGATGTCCACAGTTTTCAAATTTTCTTGTTTCTGTATTATACTGAGATGTTAAATGTTTTTAGTGATTATACAAAACTAAATAAATACTTCTACTAAATTGATCATCATTTTACTTATGATTTATGTTTTACATCATTAAAGGATTCAAGCTGTTATAAGGGCCAGAGGAGGCCACACAAAGAACTGAAGTAGATCACTACTTTCATAATTAACATCATGTTGATGTCCACAGTTTTCAAATTTTCTTGTTGTTTGTGTATTATACTGAGATGTTCAATGTGTTTTTGTGATTATACAAAACTAAATAAATACTTCTACTAAATTGATCATCATTTTACTTATGATTTATGTTTTACATCATTTTAATTGTGTAAACACTACCAAAAATAGTTTGTCCAAGAACTTTTGGAGGGCACTTTATATACACGCATTTATATTTATATATATATATTATATATATATATATATATACACACTATATACATATATATGCATTAATATATATACGCATTAATATATATATATATATAAACACGCATTTATATATATATATATATATATATATATATATATATATGCATTAATATATATATACACATTAATATATATATATATACATACACACGCATTTATATATATATATATATATATATATATATATATATATACACACGCATTTATATATATATATTTATATAACGCATCTTTATATACATATATATGCATACACACTAATAAATATATATGGTCATTTAATGCACAAATCAGTGAAAATCAGTAATTTAATCTTCAAGGTAAAGGTCATTAAAGAGCCCAAGTCAATATGAGTTTGATAAAAAGGAAAGTCTTGTCCTTAAGAATGTTCTGTTATAATATGAAGTCAATCCTTTCAATTATAGCAAAGTTACAGCCAAAAGATTGAAAATTTCAATAATTTGACCTTCAACGTCAAGGTCATTATTGAGTGAAGGTCAAGGTCAGTTGGTTTATTTTTAAGGGCTATCCTTGAATATTATTATGTTCAAGTTTGAAGACAATCCATTCAAAAATAACAAAGTTACAGCCAATAATAGCCTAAAAAATGAAAATTTCAATAATTTGACCTTCAAAGTCAAGGTCATTTATGAGTGAATGTCAAGGTCTGTCTGGTTATTTTTAAGGGATATCCTTGAAGATTATTATGTTCAAGTTTGAAGACAATCCATTCAAAAATAGCAAAGTTACAGCCAATAATAGCAAGAACAAGCAAAATTTGGACTTTTGACCTTGAAGCAAGGTCATTTATGGATGAAGGTCAAGGTTGGTGATGTCTACTGAAAGGTCTTGTCCCAAGGGTTGTTGTTGCCATGTATGAAGACAATACACCAAGAACTAAAAAAGTTAAGATCCAGGTACAAGTTTGCGGATGGTAGCCACCAGCAATATAACAATACCTCTACTTTTTTTTCAAAAAAAAAAAAAAAAAAAAGTCGAGCTAAAAACAAGATTGCATTTGTGAAACAAGAGCACCGCTAGGCGGAGCATTATATGCCCGAAAAGTGTTAGTCTTCAATGAATAAACAAAAACAAGAGGGCCAAGATGGCTGTAGATCGCTCACTTGACCCATTAAGCTCATCCCAGCAATCACTTAGACAAGCATCCTTTGATGACAAATGAGTCAAAAATGTGTCCTCTAGAGTGTTAACAGGGTTTTTCAATATTTGGGCAGTGTGACCTAGTTTTTGATCCCAGGTGACCCATATTCAAACTTGACATAGAAATCATCAAAACAAACTTGCGATATTTGAATCAAAACTCCAGCCACTAGAGTGTTAACCAGAATTTTCTATTTTTAGCTTCTGTCACCTAGTTTTAGACTGCAGACAACCCATTTTCAAACTTGACCCAGAAATCATCAAAACAACATTCCTGACCAATTTCCAGAATATTTGGATTAAAACTGCAGTCCTTAGAGTGTTAACAAGATTTTTCTAATTTTAGCACCTGTCACCTAGTTTTCGACCGAAGATGATCCATATTTCGAAGCTGACATAGAAGTCATCAAAACAATCTTCCTGACCAATTTCCAAAATATTTGGATCAAAACTGCAGCCACTAGAGTGTAAACAAGATTTTTCTATTTTTTTCCTAGTTTTTGACCCGAGATGACCCATATTTGAACTTTGCATGTATTTCATTGAGACAAACATTCTGACTAAGTTTGATGATGGTCCAATCAAAACTGTGACTGTCAGAGTGTTAACCCAATTGTTGACGAAGAATGACGCACAACGCAGGACGCTGGACATAGCTCCATCACTATACCTCACCTGAGGTAAAAATTGTGACTTCTGTAAAACAGCCATCTTTCATTGTACCCATTTAAGAAGGAAATAAAATGTATAAATATAAGAAATTATTTCATTAACACATTAAAATAAAATATTACCTCCTTCAAAAAGAAATACTCCTTTATAGCTTAAGAACCTTCATATATATACAGTTGCTGTTTCCAAAGCACCACCATCAAGTTGTTATCTTGTCAGTAAAAATGCTATGACAGATGGACGGAAAAACGCCAGGGGTATAACATAATATAAGCAAATTTTTTACGGCATATACTGAATGTACTCAATATAAAATA